TCTCCCCCTTTTATTTACAAAGAGAGGAGGATCCTTGAACAAGGAGGCAAGTTCCGGATCAGACTTTAGAATATGCCAGTGTTTTTGAAAAACAGATCTTATTGCGGTGGAGTGGGCAGAATACTGAGTGGTACACATAACGGAGAATTTCTTTTGTTTTATAGCGCTCTTTTTTAGCAACTCGGAGCGCGTCTTTTTGAGAGCCAATTCATATGCTTGATTAATCCACAAGGATGGGTACCCTCGCTGCGCAAATCTGTTCTTCATATCCGCTGCCTTCTCAATGAAGTCCTCTGTGGAATGACAGATTCTTCTCAATCGGAAAAACTGACTGATAAGAAGACCCTTCTTTAGGGGTGTGGGATGACAACTGGTGGCCAACAGTAAGGTGTTTTTATCTGTGTCCTTACGATAGATAGTTGTGATGAGAGAGCCACTGTTTTTAATAACCCACATGTCTAAAAAACTGACTTTTTCATCACTGTAGTTTGACGTGAAATGTAAATTACTGTCGAAACTGTTTAGCAAAGTAATGAAATCTGCCAGTTCATCAGGATTTCCATTGTATACACAAAAGATGTCATCAATGAACCTGTACCATTTTATAATCTTGAGCAAATGTGTGTTTTTGGCTGGATTAAAAACGAAAAACTTTTCAAAAAATCCAACAAATAAATTTGCATGATTGGGTGTACAAATGGTGCCCATGCTTGTACCTGAGACTTGTAGATAGAAATCATTTTCAAAACTGAAATAATTGTATTTCATCACAAAACTGGCCAAATCAATAATGAACTGATTAGGAGGGTTCGATGTACTGTCTCGGTCTTGGTAATAAAAACTTAACGCCTCCAAGCCCCCCTCGTGGGGTATGTTTGTGTAAAGGCTTGTGATGTCAAGGGTTAACAAGAGGGCATCATCTGGCAAATCCCTACGGTCTGAAATTTTATCAATGAAATCAGTGGAATCCTTGATGTAAGCTGGCAGAGTCTGGACGAAAGGTTTAATAAAAGAATCGACAAACTCAGACAAAGGAGACCATAATGAATCTGTTTGCACCACAATGGGACGACCCGGAGGATTGGTGAGTGATTTATGCACTTTAGGCAAAGTATATATCACAGGCCGTATTGGGTGCTTGCAATATAAGAACTCATATTCTTATTTGGTGATCCAGCCTCTCTTTTTGGCATCTTCAAGATATGAATGCAATTCATTTTGAAAGGAGATGGTAGGGTCATGATTTAATTTTTTGTAGAATCTGGTATTCAACAATTGAGAAAGAATTTCATGTTTATACTTTTCAGAATCTTGAATACAGATACCCCCTCTCTTATCCGCCGGCTTGATGACAATATCCTTGTCATTCATCAGTTCATTCAAAGCCATTCTTTCACTTTTAGTCAAATTGGGAGGGCTGGTGTGTGGCTTAACAGTCATCTGCAAAATATCCTGCTCCACAATGCGACAAAATGTGTTTATGGACGCATTGTTAGTGTTGGGGCAGAAAGTGCTTTTGGCTTTAAAGACAGGAGCATGAGTGGCACTAGCCGAGTCTGTGTTTTTAGAAAAGAAGTGACATAATTAAATATGTCTGTTTTTAACTTAGAATGTAAACCTATCTGCTAAAAAATATTTTGAAATACTGATTTATTTATTATCGATTCACATATTATGTATTTCTCTTCTGGACATGTGGGGATTACTTTAGATTGATGTCACACAAAGTGTTTTGTTGTTTATTTACTGTCTCTTTGTGTTGTGTGGTTTAATTACCCGATGATGATTTTGTCCCTCTGTGTTTACGCGTGGGAATGGGATTGGTCATGGAGAAACGACCACTCCCTATTTAAGATGGCTTCTCATGAACAAAAAACTGTTTGCCTGATGAAGGTCTAGTACCGAAACGTCGCAAATAAATGATTTATTGCAAGTTGGACAGTGTGCGGGAGTCCTTTTGCTACTTTTTGGTCTTTTTTCTCCAACGCACCTGTCTTGTTTTATAGATGTGCGAAGTGCTTCCTTTGTTCATGTTCCAAGATGAAAGGAAGGTTCTTATTTATGAGAATGGCTGTGCCTTTCTTGTTCTGTGACTGGGAGGAGAAGTGAACTTTACCTACCCAGTCCCTCTTAAGTTTCAGATGTTCTGTATCAGCCTAGCTTCCTGAAGTAATGCTGTATCAGATTTTTGTTTTTTCAAATATGTTAAAAAAAATTTGACATGAGAGCCACAAAGCTGGAAAATAATTGAATAACAGGTGCTGAGTGCAGAAGAATTAATCAGGGTGCAAGAAGTTATATAAAAGAGTAAACCTGGGCTCCAGTCGTTTAACAGAAGGAAAATAAAACACAAAAATCTTGAACAGCAGCGCTTACCCTCCCCTATCCTGTCCCCAAATGACAGGAAAAAACTACCCCAGAAGAAGTCACTGGGCAATCTAAGCATAGTCCAAATCCTGATTTAGCAGTTAGATCACAACTAAGACACCTGAAACAGTGTCCATACTCCAGGCTGAATAATGAACACCACTGTGAAACTGAAACTGAGATGGGTTCCCAAATTGTGCTTGGACCACAACATTTGTGCAAAACTGACCTTAAATAAAGACTATACACAAGGCTGATACAAGAGCATATGAACTATTAAAGCTAAATTCAAAATGCAAGTGCTGTATTTGTAAGAAAACATCATGGAGAAGAAAAAGCACTGTAGTAGAGTGTGAGATCGAACTGAGCACAATGCAAAATGAACAGTTTTTATGCATTCTGTGTTATAAAGGGCGAAAAGGTGAGGGGAAAAAAAGAAACTGAAATCACCTTATTTCCAAGGTAGAGAGCTACAAATTGAATCAGCTCCATTATATATTCTCTCAGAGTCCATATGGTAGTCACAAAAAAGTGCACAGTGTTCAGTGGGGGCTTAGTATACATGAGGTCCATCTTTCTTCATCTCTCACTGGTAACATTAGAGATGAAGAGATAACCTCATTTAAGAGTATCCAGGAATGTAGCATGATGGGTTCTCAGGGGTGTCAAAAAGGCGCAATTGCCCTTCGTGGAGACACCAGAGACGGGCTACGTAGACAAGTCCACAGTACTTATTATGACGGGCCAGCGTTTTCCCCACGGTGTTGAACTCTCGCAGCCTTCGCAGGACCTCCACAGACAGGTCAGGGTAGAACCGTAGTTGGGAGCCACCGTGGAGGATGTCACGTTTCTTCAGGGCTGCTCTGAGCACAGCCTGTCTTTGGGAATATCGTAGAAACCGCACCAAGATGCTTCTCGGGGGCGTGTCTGGAGCCAGAGCAGGAGCCTGGGCTTGGTGGGGGCGTTCAATCTCCAGCGGGGGAAGTCAGCGGGCAGGCCAACTAAAGTCAGCAATGTTGTCTGGAGAAAGTCTGCAAGAGGGATGCTGCCCTCCATTTTGTCTGGAAGGTTGATAATTTTCAGTTTTTTTTGTCGGCCACGATGTTCTAAGTCGTCAATTTTCAGCTGCAGCTGCTCCACTGTTTTTTCCATGGAGGCTATACGGGTGCCGTGAGCACCATGGCTGTCCTCTGCAGCAGAGACCCTCTCCTCAGCCTCTTCCATGCGCTTTTCTAGGTCCATCACTTGGTTAGAGAGAGCCGATAAAGAGCTCTCCACTGAGGTGACAGATACTTTTATTTCGCTCAGTGCGCCATCAGTGATGTCCAGGTGAGCGCCGACTGATTCATCCATGTTGTTCACCTGGGAGGCCACAGACTTTATTTCAGCTAGGATCTGCTCCATAGTTACTTGGTCAGTTAGCATTAGCATTAGCAAGGCATCACCTTGCTCGGCCTCACTCGGGATGTTTGAGGCCGCTTGAGACCAGACGATGAAAAAATAGGAAAGTCCTTGTCGCGCTGCGGTCTAGGCATCTCTAAAGTACAATTCGGCTGATAGTATTGACTTTACTAGGAGAAAGTAACAGATTTATTTGAAGCCTGGAGTGGAGTTAAGTCTCAAGTGTCCATCTTGATCCGGATCACATGACCAAACCCTTATGTGACTTCTAATACAGTACATCAAGTGTATATGTCCTTCATGGGTGTTTCAGAAGTTTAACTCCTGGCAAGACTGAATCCAAACATGTTCACATTTTAAAGACAGTAAGTTATAAAATCATGTAAATTCATACACAATATTCTGGATGTTTTCTTCCGAGAAACATTGAGATGCATGCTAACCTTTTTTGCTATTTGGATAAACCACAAACAGCGATTGACATATTATCACCTTATAAAATTGATATGATAAATGTGTTAGCAAACATTTCCCCGTCAACATCCAGTCCATGTGGAGCAACATTAGCATTCCTTTGGAGGTGGTATAATGTCAAATGTGAGTCCAATATTCATTCTCTTTTTAGCTCTAGTTTGGTCTCCACTAAGTCCTGAGGGGAGATCTGATTTAGCTTCAAGATGCTCTTCTATTTTCACCAGCTAGCTGCAAGCTTTGTCTGTTGTTTAGAAGGAGGTGGTTGATCAGAAGCAGCGCTATGTACCCGCACATCATGTGCTGTGTGTAGGGTATCGGGTACTGGAGGGGGCCCCAAAACAGCTATGGATCATCAATCATAATCAGAAGTATGAACTATTGAATTTAAGTGAACTACAGTAGGTACAATTAGACCATTGTAAGCAATATGATATACATAATTGCTTGAAATGATAAAGTGAATCATGCGTCAGGGTCATGCAGCTCTTGCTCTACCAGAAAAACAGTGTGCTGGAAGATGATGCAAGTGACAAGTTGCACATCACACATGCTCACTGAATCCATAATTTACATGAAAATATTGAATAGTGCAGCTTTAACTCACAGAATAGATTTTTGGCAGCTTTGTTGTTTTCACTTAATAAAATTATTTCAGATTTTTGTCCTCCTGTCTTGTTTTTATGTTGTTAATTCTATAGTATGTGTAAGATACTGAATATTTAATACGTTAATGTTTTATTGTGTGTGCTTTTCTTTAGTCGTGTCAACTTGAAAGTCGAAATTCGGGCTTCAGGACCTGCCAGCGTCACTGTGTTGCCAAAACAGAAAGGTAAAGCATGATTTCTCTTACCTAGTTTCAAAGACCAATAAGTGAGGTCTGTGTATGTAGGTCTAATAATGGCTGTATGATTGTCAAAACATTGTGGACAGAGTATTGCTTTAAAGGAAAAGGTTGATAATTTTCTATATTTTTCTAAGTGTAAACAAGTTCCATTAAAAGACCAAAACCAATTATGAATAGACTCCTCTAACAAGTATTGCCTGCTTGGCCAAAGCCTGATCTGTCCTATGTGTCTGCGTCACAGAGCTCAGTGAGTCAAACTGTTGCACTGAGTAACATGTTCCTTTATCACAATAAATGTGGACACTGTTTTTTTTTTCAGTGCAGTCCCACATACTCTGTCCTGCTGATCAGTACTGCACCAAAATTATATAAACTGTTGCTGAAAACAAATGCACCATGTATGAGGAATGTCTCTTTGTTTATAGCCTGCGTGGTAGGTAAATCTAGCGCTCTCTTGCTGAAATCTCAGTAAAATATATTCATGGAAGTTCCACGCTACAGCAGCTGTAAAAAAAAACAAAAAACAAAACCCACAAAAAAACAAACAAACCCTGATTAACTTGATGGAAAACAGAGACTGGGCTGGTAACTCCAAATAAAATCCCTAAGTTTTTTTCTTTCTTTCTTTCTTTCTGTTGTAAGTGAGTGGAAATGAACTGAACTGAACAGACTGTAGTACTGAAAGTAAAAATATTTTGTTTGGGGGATTTATTGGAATTGAAAACCCAGACTAGATTTTGGGGTTTCTGGAGGGGCAGTACTTTTTTTTCTTCCTTCACTTGAACTATTAATACATTTAATCTGTTGTGGTGTTTTGCTATTTGTTGGCTCATGCTATGCATTTTGCTTTTGGGTATGTGTTCTTGAGATCAGTGCTGTGTTTTATGATGCTCTATACCTCTTGAGTCCTTTGGGCAGTAACTTGAAACTACTGACTCACCAGCTGACGAAAATTTTGTTTGGCACTGACCTAAATGGCACCCCAAGCAGTCAAGGGGAGGGAGAAACCTTGGTTTTGGTCTTTTCATTGAATATGGACATAAAATAAACCCACCCATATCCTTTGACTTCCTCTTAGATCAACCACAGTTGAAAAGCAGCATTGTGACATCTGGACCCTCTGGCTATTACTACCAGGGTGCATGGCGATCATTAAATGGCCCCACAGTTCGCCAATTCAACATCTCTGACATCAGTCCATGTCTGAAAGGCAAGGTGGTCCACATGTATGGAGACTCCACCGTCAGGCAGTTTTTTGAATATCTCAACGCAGTACTACCAGGTAGCTGATTAAGCCACAGGATTTCTGGCAACAATTTGATTTTGTTCACACTGTTCACACTAATCTGTTCCTCTGTCGTACTTATAGATCTTAAGGAGTTTGACCTGCACAGTCCGAAGAGAGCTGGACCTTACATGGCCTTAGACTATGCAAACAATATCAGGGTAACATACCGCTTCCATGGTCCTCCTATCCGTATTGTCACTGTCCCAACCAGGGAGCTTCGTCACATTGCAAATGAAATAGATGGTTTAATTGGAGGCACCAATACTGTTGTACTTTTTTGTGTCTGGGCTCACTTTGGCCCTTATCCCATGGAGCTCTACATCCGGAGGCTGCAGAGCATCCGCAGGGCGGTGGTGCAGCTGCTGGACAGGGCTCCCGGCACAGTGGTCATCATCCGGATTGGGAACCCCCAAGATTTGACGGTTTATTCGTCGCTAAGCAAAAGTGACTGGTACTCACTGCGGTTCAACAAGGTGCTCAGACTCATGTTCAAAGGACTGAATGTTCATCTGATTGATGCCTGGGAGATGGTCCTGGCCCACTATCTGCCACACATACTCCACCCACCACCTGCCATTATTAAGAATATGATGAACGTTATCTTGTCCTATATATGCCCTGCAAAGAGCAGCTAGATGTGCATGTGATTTGGGGGTGGTGGGGTGTGTGTGTGTGTGTGTGTGGGGGGGGTGTTGCTCAGTTTACATGGTATCTCTCTGTTGTCTGTAGTCCAGTTTTAAATGTTGAGCAATTTTATAATAATTTATAGTAGTCAAAGTGGTAATATCAGATCTAACTTTACCGAAACAGCTGCATATTTATGACAGTCTCCCTCAAGAGATATGAATTTGTGAAGACAGTGGGTGGACTCTCATTGATTATGTGATATGATATACTATTTTTATAATAGACAGGGTTTTGCTTATACTGTATATATTACTTCTTCACTTTATCTCTGTCTCTTCCACTGTGATCTAAAAAGATTAATTACGGGGATTCAGTGAGGTTTAATGGCTTTTACCTAGATTCTCCAAAAAGAGTCCTTGATGTTTTGCACATTCAGCGAAGTTGAATCCAATGTGTATGCAGTAAGGGTGTTTTCACACTTGTCCCTTTTCAGCCCTCTGAGGGGACTCAGAGCAGTGACTCAGACTTGTTTGCGAGTAAGTGAGTAAGGTTCGCTTCAAGTCCGTGGTGCCGTTCGCTTAGCCTGTGCATTATGAACACAAAGCACTCCAGGTTTACTTTGGTCTTTGCCATTGTATTTAGCCCTCTGGATCACATGCTATTGCACTGGAATGCCTAAAAAAACCTGACTAAAACACCTTGGCCTGTTATGCAGAAATGCTAAGGTTTTCCTCCAGTTGAAAGTTGATCTGAAAGTGAGGGGCTTCATAACTGCACTGCAGTGCCACATCAAAGTAAAAACAAAACTACATCAATATATAGGCTATAGTGTGAACAGAAGGACTCAGTCCCTTTTCTGTTGGTCCACTTTTTGGTGCGCTTTAAGAGGACTGAGTTCAGTTTTATTTAAAAGGACTATATGTGAAACCACCCTTAGGGTGTTTTCACACTTGGTTCTTTTCAGCCCTCTAAGCGGACTCAGAGCGGTGACTCAGCATTTTTTGCGCAAATGTTAACACTCCAAGAGAACTCAGACCCCTCTGAAGCGAACTGAACTCAGACCACCTCGCGAGGTGGTCTGAGTTCGATCCGCTTCAAGTCTGCAGCGCCGTTCACTTAACCTGTGCCTTGTGAACACAAAGCACTCCAGGCCCACTTTGCCTTTTGCTATTGTATTGTAGCCCTCCAAACATGCTGTAGACACATCACACGCTATTTCAGTGGGAAGCATAATAAACACAATGGAACCATGGCCACAGGTAACGACGGCACGACCAGTGGACGATGAGTACTTTGGTCTGATGATGAAACAACTGCACTATGGAACGAGGAAAAGATCAAACAGCAACTGTCCACAACTCACACAAATGCTAAGGTTTTCCTCCAATTTTAAGTTCATAACTGCACTGCAGTGCCACATCAAAGTAAAAACAAAACTGCGTCAATATATATTATATATAGGCTACAATGTGTAGGAGCATACCCTTCCTCAACTTTCCATTTTCTGGTCTACCAGTAAATAAGACCATGAGAAATCCACAAGCAGGGTCAAATGTTTATTACTCTGCCCCCGAGCTTACTCCAGTCAGGGGGGATGCGTCCTCCAGACGTCCTGGCACTGAAATGGGGTTAGAGAGTTCATTTGAGGTGCTTCAAATGCTTTGTAAGTCATTAACTTATAAAAGGGTCCCCTCCTCCGCCCTGAGGCAACACCTTGATTAACAGCCCTGCTAGGATAAGACAATGCCTCCCTTTTTCACAACATCCTATCCCTTCCTGTGACCCCAGGGGGCCACGCCATCCCCTCTCTTACCAAATGCTTCTGTGTGATAAAATTGAAATGTATGTTGGAAGAGAGATTATTCTTTTTGTTCCTCTTTGTTGGTCGTTTACCATGTCCTAACTTATACATGTGCATAATCATGTTTTTATCTGAATGATACTTTACTTTAACCCTGTAAAACAAAAGATCGATAAGTTGCAGAATTCAATTTCAATTTCAACTGTTAACCCTTTAACTTTTAAATTTTGTTGATCCAGTTTTCTTTTATCTCCAGTGTTTTCAACATTTTTTGCACATTAATAATAAATGACAACAATATCGAACGGCCAACGATATTGTTTTCACCATTATTATAAGCGAGTAATCAGAACGAAGTAGACCAGCACCTGCCGACCAACCTCTTCACCCCAGATTCATCGGAACCAGCGGCTGCCAGCCACTTACCACAGTGGTCCTTGTGCCAAGCCCAAAAGCTTTCTGGAGCATAAAACAACCAACCTGCGGTACCCACTAGGGCTGTACCCAAATATTCAGATATTCGTTTCTATGGGTAGGTATTCGTTATGAAAATTCGATATTCGTTTTTTTTTAATTTACTTTTTTTTTTTCATTCTTTTTGGTGCAAATGTAGTCTCTGTTGTTGGTAAATGTAGGTTATCAATAAAAATCAAAACTTTTAAATTGCATTGTTAAAAATGTGAAAATGAAGTATAGCCTACCAACTGAGCTTGTGCGCACGGCACGCTTGAGCGCATCGTCTGAGGCTGTGGATCAGTGCCAAGTTTTACCACTTTATCACTATTCCCTCTAACTTATAGCTGTTTTTTCGTTATCTTTTGAATTTAATATGAATTATGGAACCGTTTTTGTCAACGTTTGTTTCTCCCGTTTTGTACAATAAATTATTGTTTAAAGTTTCAACAAGTTTCTTTTGGAGTGCGTGACACAAGTGTGTTTTGAAAATGGCCACGGACTGTCACCTGCTCAACGCATCAGTACCTTCGGATGCCATGACAGTATTGCCAATAATGTCAAAATATAATTTACAGACTGATTTAAGAGACGATCACTGCTGCCCGACCCGCAGGTCCATTTACAGGTCCCGTGGGTTATGGGTCGACCCGCGCATCACTACTCAGCTGAGTCTATAAAGGCTGTACACACAGCCCCGTGAACGAATACTCAAATATTCGTTATAAATTCTGCCGAAGGTCCGAATGTTAGAAAATGGTATTCGGGACAGCCCTAGTACCCACAAGACATGACAGACTCAACTGCTCCCACCCTGCCATGAGACAGCCTGTTCCATTCCATTCTGCAAAGACCAGGAGCTGCGAAGCAACAGTCCGGGGCCCCAAGAGGAGCTTCGCCTTTGATCCCCGCTGCTAAAAAGTAGGAAAGAACTTCCATAACTTGAGTGCACCACTGTGCGGTCAAGAGTGAGGTCGAGCAGGAGGCTTAGTTAATTATCCTGATTTTAATTTAGGTTTCATTAGGCCCACATGAATGGTTTTGCGCATTCCTGCGTTCCCCATTTATAATATATCTTAACATACTCTGTCCCACTATCGGCAAACTAAATAACTCGTGTTACTTCTCATTTCATTCCATTTATATACTGTTGATTTTATGTTGTGTCATATAATCATCATTTGCTATTCATTTATTCAGTTGTTACCTATTTAGCTTAAATAAATCTTCATTTATCGCCAAGTCGTTGTCTGTGTATATAACTTTTGGACAGGAGCTGAGATCACTGTATCGAGAATTCATAACCCAGATATTGAGATTGATTCATTATTAATAAGCGTACTGACGAATTAATAAGTGACTTACGGAGTTACGAATTTGATTAGTCGCTTCCCTCATTAGGAGGGTGGTGCCCCAAAATTTATTACGAGTGCAAATATTCTCAAAGAGGTATTTCCCCTACAAGTGTGAACAGAAAGAGGATTGAGGCAAGAAGTTCCCTTTCTGTTGGTCCACTTTTTGGTCAACTTAAAGAGGACTGAGTTCGGTTCATTTAAAAAGGACTAAATGTGAAATTGCCCAACCCTCTGTCATGTCACACTGTTACAATCCCCTAAATTAGCTCGTACCCAAGAGACCAAACACAATTAAACAAGGTAAGAGTTGCATAGAAACATGTTTTTATTCATTTCATTTAACCTTTATTTAAATCTCGAGAAATCATTGAGGGCGAGCCCTCATTTACAATGATGTCGAGAGCACAACAAACAATTAAAAATCACAAAGAACGAGCAAATAACAACAGACCGAACACCTTTAAAAACAGTTACATTCAAAAGTACAGTAGTTGGTAATCATAGTTTTAAACTGGCCTATAGTAACCATTGTGTTGAGTTTGAGTGTACGCTGCAAGATGTTTCAGGAAGATGCTGCAGAAGAACTAAAAGCAGTTTTACCAAATTCAGTCAATTTAGTGCGGGGAGCATCAAGCATTAAGCAATCAGTTGAACGTGTAGAATAATTACTATGCGACCAGTTCAATAAAGTGTTGAGGTATGGTGGCATGCTGCCGTTCAAAACTTTATGAATGAAAAGTAGCCAGTGCATATCTCTTTGCACAGATAAAGGTGCCCATCCCACCTTATCATATAAGACACAATTATGGGCGAAGTAACTGGAACCGGTGATGAATCTGAGTGCAGTGATAAATTGAGTCCAATGAATGAGAGTGGAGGCAGAAGCATGTCTATAGATAACATCACCATAATCCAGAACTGATAAAAATACAGCCTCAATGATCTGTTTCCTACAAAGTAAGGGAAAATTTAATTTGTGTCTATATAAGTATCCGATTTTGTGTTTTAGTTAAATTGCCAGTATGACAATATGGAATTTAAATGTTAGTTTCTGATCCAACCAGATGCCAAGATACTTATATACTGAAACCCTTTCAATACTATGTCCTGTAAAAGTGGTGATGTGTAAACTGTCATCTGTAATATTTCTGGCTCTTGAGAATATCATGTATTTGGTCTTGTCTGCATTAAGAACTAATTTCAGATTGAAAAGTGAATGTTGTAGTTTGTCGAAGGCTTGCTGGAGGATTTCAATGGCTGAGTGTGCAGTGTTAGAGGTGCAGTACAGAACTGTATCATCGGCGTAAAGATGGGCATTAGAACTCATGATCATCCACACGCCAGTATCATTCCAATTCAGAAAGGGGGTCAAGCCAGGAAATCTGAGCAACAACTGACT